GGAAACTGCTCTAAGTGAGATTAACACCACACCCAAACATACTTAAAATGTAAATTATTTCCCGGTTAGTTGAAAACTCTAGCGAAATACATATACAAATATGTATACTGTATACATGCCAGAGCGAGCGCATGGAACATCCATTTTCCTTATAATATACATAATTAGTTTCCTCTGCTGCAAGGATGAATGGGATGAATTATTTTGCTTATTATAAGCCTAGCGTTGATTAGAGGCGCTGTTGCCTTTCGCCTGATGCCTCTGTTTACCTAGCAATTAAATGGGTGTAACCAGGAGTTAGTCAACTGTTTAGCTGTTGCATCCTCGCAAGGCTTAGCAGTTGGCCTCCATGGGGGGGAGGGGGAGGTGTAAATAAGCCTAAAAACCGGTTTCCTGTTGGCGACAACGGTAATTAAACTTAGAACTGCGTTTAGATGTACCCTGTTCACAGGTTCGATCCCCCCTTTGTGTTCCAATTGATTAGAACTACGTAACTTTATTCCTGTTACCCACAGAAATCACAATTCCTGTTTCTTTATTTCTACTATGTTCCCTCATCTCTTTTTCTCCCTTCTCCTTCCCTAAGAGGCTCTTAAGACGAGGCAAGACATAGCCGGCCACCACCGCCATCTGGGGCCGCAATGATCAAGTCTCTGCCGTTAACTCCAAATTAGGCCAACAGATGGCGGGGCTAAAGTGGCGCGCCTGCTTTATCCAGTTTCTCGTCTGCTTATGATACCATCCATTTGTTGACATTTTCCGCGCCGGCTGAGCAATCGAGGACACTTTAGACGTTAAATTTAACAATATATATCCCGAAGTTTGGATACAATTTTAATACTTGGTGTATTATGCAGTAGGAAGAATTTCAAGGAGAAGAGTTTAGTGAATTTAAGAGGACGGTATATTTGGTGGGTATAGTGGCTCTTGAGAGCACGTGACTCTTATTGCCTATACATTATGAGGCCAGGGAGTACACTTTGTAATAGATCAAGCACTGGGATGTGTGGTGTGTGTGTGTGTGTGTGTACACTCACCTAATTGTGCTTGCGGGGGTTGAGCTTTGGCTCTTTGGTCCCGCCTCTCAACCGTCAATCAACTGGTGTACAGATTCCTGAGCCTACTGGGCTCTATCATATCTACAGTTGAAATTGTGTATGGAGTTAGCCTCCACCACATCACACGCACTTGTGTGTGTGTGTGTGTGTGTGTGTGTGTGTGAGATGGATAATAAATGCATAAAAATGGAAATTCGTGTTTATTTACTGCTTGTAAATAATTTTTATCCCCTCCAATTACAACTAATTTCCATAACCCTGTGTTTGTTCTGTGTGTGTGTGTGTGTGTGTCTGTCTGTCTGTCTGTCTGTCTGTCTACAAGTCCAGGAAGCCTCCAGCCTCCAGTGCTCCCTCAGCCAACCTCCCTCCACAGAACAGTCACCACACACATAAAATCCACCTGTGATTGTGGACAACAAAAATAATATATCACATGAGAACAGGTTGGGCCACAAAACGTTCTCTCTCGCATCCTGCTGTCGCGCAGAACTTTGCCTCTCTCTCTCTCGAACTTGGGAAAAGTTCTTCTCGTCCAAGATATCTCGAAAGCCTTCTGTGAAGTTTGGAATGACACCCTTTGCTTCTGGGAGACGTGGTTCCCGCTTTCACATATGTCTTCGCTCCCACAAAAGACAAAAAAAGAAAAAGTAGATGTTTAAATCTACTTTTTAAATTTAAGTAGATGAAAAGTAGATACTTTATATTGATGTTTTGACTGGATCTCCAGGACTCACCAGTGCCAGAGTGCCACTAGACCTCTATGTTATACACTAATGCTAGAACTAACAGCTCTCTCCGTCAAATTTTCTCCTTTACTCTCTCTCTGCAGAAGCGGAGGCTAAGGAGATTATGTTGTTCTGTTCCTTGAGTTCCCTTCCTTTATTTGACATTCCATCAGCATTTGTATTCTAGATTACTCTTTAGTTTTTTTTTATATTATGTGTAGCCAAAACCCAGTCTAAGGGATTGGTACCAATAGGGATCAGACATAGACGAAATTTGTACATGTTCTTGTATTATGTATATGCATTTGTGTGTATACTGAGGTGTACACACACACACATACACAGTCAAATAACAATGTATTTGGTGTAGATATACCACTGATTGGGGACTGGCATACCACTGACTGGGAAGCACATACCACATACTTCGAACATGCATACCACAAAAAAATGCTGAATGTTATGTTTCCAAGAATTAAACTCTGATATTACTGAACCACTGAAATAAATACCTGAACGACACTATCAACATTATCCAATCACTTCAACCTGACACAATAATTAATCAAAGCAGCGTCAAGATAATTAACAGACTGCACACATTCCCTAATCACCGCTAATGAGTAAATTACTCAATGAACAAGATTAATCACTTCTATATATGCGTTATAATCACCCATAATAATATACGACTGTAATATACTCTTTATAATTAGATTCTTAGAGAGAGAGAGAGAGAGAGAGAGAGAGAGAGAGAGAGAGAGAGAGAGAGAGAGAGAGAGAGAGAGAGAGAGAGAGAGAGAGAGAGTTCATATATTAAACTTCCTTGAAACATCGAGGGAAAAATGCCTACAAAATATCACACCAAGTCTTACCTCAGAGGCTCACATTAGAAAAGCCTTAATGAACCCCAACAAGGAGGTATTATTAACACTGTATACAACCTACGTGAGACCAGTTACGGAAGATGCAGCCCAAAAGTGGAGCGCCCCCCATGTCAAAAAACAAAAATATGTGAATTTGATAATGAACAGAAGTTTGTAAAGATAATAGTTTCAGAGCAAAATGTGAACAGTTCAAAAAGAGCGGACTTAACGACACTGGTAAACAGAAAGAGAGCAAGATGAGACATGATAGATACATAGAAAATACTGACAGAGATTCATGGGGAGGGAAAAAAAAGAAATGCTTACAATGTTTACTTTTTCAACATTTATGAAATGTTTACAATGCCAACACACACACACACACACACACACACACACACACACACACACACACACACACACACACACACACACACACACACACACACACACACACACACACACACACACACACACACACACACACAAACACACACACACACACACACACACACACACACACACACACACACACACACACACACACACACACACACACACACACACACACACACACACACACACACACACACACACACACAAGTGACAAGTATCCTGCATCAGAAGCCTCGTATAATTCCCTCGTATAATTCGCTTCACTAAATTTCATATATATTGTCTCCAAGTTCCCTCCGCACCACGGGTGAGGTTATGAAGACCCTCTCGTGGTTTATCTCACCTTCCCTCACCTTCCCTACCCTCTCCTCCAGCCCTTACCTTCATCCTACCCTACCCTCACTTCCCCCCAGTACCCCTCACTCCCATCCTTCCTCTTGTTTTCTGCCTATCATATCTAGTACCTCTCCTCTCTCAGTCCCAGAGGGTTGAGTGATGCCACAGTAATGTCTTGGCACGCTGGAGACACACGCTGGAGGCTGCATAATGCCTCTCTCACCCCTGGGGGAGAGTCACTATTTGACTCTCACCTTGATGCCATTTCAAACGTTTATCTCTTTTGCAGGGGACCAGCTCCCTATCATAGGGATTATCGATTGTGCTTCTTATTCAGTGCCAGTCTCTCAGGCAGACAGCTACACACACACAGTAGACAACCACACACATCACTAGTGCAGACAACCACACATCACTAGTGTAGACAACCACACCCATCACTAGTGCAGACAACCACACCATCACTAGTGCAAGACAACCACACATCACTAGTGTAGACAACCACACACATCACTAGTGCAGACAACCACACACATCACTAGTAGACAACCACACCCATCACTAGTGCAGACAACCACACCATCACTAGTGCAGACAACCACACCCATCACTAGTGTAGACAACCACACCCATCACTAGTGTAGACAACCACACCCATCACTAGTGTAGACAACCACACCCATCACTAGTGTAGACAACCACACCCATCACTAGTGCAGACAACCACACCCATCACTAGTGCAGACAACCACACCCATCACTAGTGCAGACAACCACACCCATCACTAGAGCAGACAACCACACCATCACTAGTGTAGACAACCACACCATCACTAGTGTAGACAACCACACCCATCACTAGTGCAGACAACCACACCCATCACTAGTGTAGACAACCACACCCATCACTAGTGCAGACAACCACACCCATCACTAGTGTAGACAACCACACCCATCACTAGTGTAGACAACCACACCCATCACTAGTGTAGACAACCACACCCATCACTAGTGTAGACAACACACACCATCACTAGTGTAGACAACCACACACATCACTAGTGCAGACAACCCCACACCATCACTAGTGCAGACAACCACACCCATCACTACAGTAGACAACCACACCCATCACTAGTGTAGACAACCACACCATCACTAGTGTAGACAACCACACACATCACTAGTGTAGACAACCACACACATCACTAGTGTAGACAACCACACCATCACTAGTGTAGACAACCACACCCATCACTACAGTAGACAACCACACCCATCACTAGTGTAGACAACCACACCCATCACTAGTGTAGACAACCACACATCACTAGTGCAGACAACCACACCATCACTAGTGTAGACAACCACACCATCACTAGTGTAGACAACCACACACATCACTAGTGTAGACAACCACACACATCACTAGTGTAGACAACCACACACATCACTAGTGTAGACAACCACACACATCACTAGTAGACAACCACACACATCACTAGTAGACAACCACACTTTTTAAAGACCAGAAACAACTAAAACCTGAAGGGACACTTTTTTATGCAAAATATTTTGCATTGTATAACATAGAAATTGAAAAAAAAAGTAATTTTACTTCATATTTAATCGCGTGCGGTACGATCGCCGCCGGCAGCGGAGGTAATCGTGCCGCCGGCAGCGCGGGGAAAGATGGTGTCCGTCAGCCCAACTTTCAACGTCTCAGTCGGTGAGTGGACGCCGCGCGTGTCGTATCTCCTCCTCCTTCTACCCCCGCTGCTCGCTCCATGTGGCGCGTTGATGCTGCCTGTTCAATGGTGTTCACCCGTGCGGAGCTGGCTTGCTCGTGGCGTCATGTTCAGTAGTTCCGCTTTAGTGAGATCATTTGTAAATTATACGGAACATAACGCGAAAGTGGAAAGTTTCTGAAACTAATGTGTTTTATTGAAATTTCTAATGAGCATTGAATGCTTTTAAAGAAAATAACCAATTAATTCAATCAATTAACAATAAAATATATTTATCTACCTAACCTAACCTAAAAATAAATTACACTCAAGATAACCACACAAAGAAACATTACCAAGATATCAATCCATCAGTGATAACAGGTAGGCCATAAAAAAAATCCAGTTAATAATCCATTCAAACGTCAACATTAACACAAAATTCCCGGGATTTAAGTTTCGCTAATCCTCGCCGTAAGAGAGGAGCGAAATTTTATCGCTGTCAACAGTAAAGAATTCACCACTGAGGGTTGGAGTGGGGAAAAAAAAGAGCCTTATGTTCCTCTGAGAATAGGGGTGATTTTAGCGTGGACTGCTGAAGACAATGGTCCAATTTTTGAAGGATTAGGGATCTCTTATCTCTGCGAATTGGAATGTCTTAAAGACCTTTAACTTCTGTGTCGCGTATGTGGTCATGTGAGATGTTTATGTTGGGGTATGTGGTGGTATAGAAACTATAGAGTTATCGATTGATATCAAGCTTGATAACCAAATTGTTGGAACAGGGCACTCTGGATAAACACACACATTCTCAAGAATGGATAGTTAGCTATCCTTCAATACTACTCATAGCTTGATGGCGAATAGGATATGAGGATAACATGGGGACGGAGTATACCAATGGTATCCAACTCCCGGGACCAACAGGATTCGAACCCTGACCTGTGTGAGGCCAGGCTCTACCCACCAAACCACTGGAGATGATTGGATAGTTGTGACAGATCAACTCAAACAATACTTATCCCAACTAAAAGCAAAATGACTGGCTGGATAACCAATGATTATACCCAAACAATGATGCCAAACCAGTGATTGTACCTAAACAATGATGCCAAACCAGTGATTGTACCTAAACAATGATGCCAAACCAGTGATTGTACCCAAACAATGATGCCAAATCAATGATTGTACCCAATTTAAGAACTACAAGAAATATGAAAAACCAACAATGGAAAATATATAAAAACCCAACTATGCCCATGCCTACCTATAGACAAAATAGAAACCTAACAATTTCAAGGCCTAAGGATGATATAAAATCCGGTTACTAACGATATAGAAACCCATCAATTCATACGATAGATATTGAACTGAAAACACCTAAACGGATAAAGATGGATAAAGATCACAGAGGGAACATAGAGAATCCACTTTAGAAACCTTCGTTAGCAATCCACTGTAGAAACCCTCGTTACCAATCCACTTTAGAAACCCTTAACAATCCACTGTAGAAACCCTCGTTAACAATCCACTTTAGAAACCTTCGTTACCAATCCACTTTAGAAACCCTCGTTACCAATCCACTTTAGAAATCCTCGTTACCAATCCACTTTAGAAACCCTCGTTACCAATCCACTTTAGAAACCCTCGTTACCAATCCACTTTAGAAACCCTCGTTACCAATCCACTGTAGAAACCCTCGTTACCAATCCCTCTGTACTCACACGAGACCGGAACTGAGAACAATTTCAGAATTCAAATCCTGTAAACGATTCGAAATTAATTGAAACCGCTAAACCAATACTGAGCCAGATAAGACGCGATTGTTGGTATGGGGAGATTGGGAGATTGTGGGATAGTAGGAATGCTCGTTCGAGGCGCTGAGGACTTGAAATTGTTATTGTGGGGGTTTGTGAGATTCTGGTATAGCCCTCAAGCGAGAGGATGATGAGGGGGGGTATTGATGAATTATGGTACCGCTTGAGGGCTTGATCAAGTGGTGGGTAGAAATAGGATTGTGGGATTGTGTTAAGAGAGAGAAAACGACAAGCGGAAACGATTTGGGATTTTGTTTAATGGGGTTTGTGGTTAGTAGCGTTGGTTTGTGTGTGAAAGTTGTGCTTCAACAGTATACATATGTATTTGGTATACATATGAATATTCTGGTGTTGGTATACATGTAGATATTCTGGTGTTGGTATACATGTGGATATTCTGGTGTTTACAAGTACAACATCTTCTGTCTGTCTGTCTGTCTCTGTCTCTCTCTCTCTCTCTCTTACTTTCTCTCTCTCAGGAAATAAATAACATTACGAAACACTGAACATTTTGCTGGACACTCTACGGATAACAAATTCCCAATTTCAATCTTCATGATTATCGGAGGGGGTCGCTATAAATGCCGATATTTCTTAAACGATGGCATTGGGGTCGACCTAAATTGGCCTATGACACTCACGAACCCCCAGTGTGTCATCTTGGAAAGTCATGCGGGGCATCATATCCCAAGTATCTGGCCTCCTTCTTTGGACAGACAGACATTCAATTTTACTGACAGATTCTAGTGAAGATATATATGAATACTCCAGTGTTACTAATACATAAATACTTCATTATCCTTGTTGTATGATACACTAGGACGGCTGTATGTTTCCCATACTGTATGATGATCCTGAGACTGTTGTATGTTGGCATAAATACACGGATAGAGCCACGCCAACACCCACAGAGCCACACCAACACCCACAGAGCCACAACAACACCCAACAGAGCCACACTAACACCCACAGAGCCACACCAACGCCCACAGAGCCTCACCAACACCCACAGAGCTCCACCAACACCCACAAAGCCTCACCAACACCCACAGAGCCACACCAACACCCACAGAGCCACACCAACACCCCACAGAGCCACACCAACACCCACAGAGCCTCACCAACACCCACAGAGCCACACCAACACCCACAGAGCCACACCAACACCCCACAGAGCCACACCAACACCCACAGAGCCTCACCAACACCCACAGAGCCACACCAACACCCACAGAGCCTCCACCAACACCCACAGAGCCACACCAACACCCACAGAGCCACACCAACACCCACAGAGCCTCACCAACACCCACAGAGCCACACCAACACCCACAAAGCCTCACCAACACCCACAGAGCCACACCAACACCCACAGAGCTCCACCAACACCCACAGAGCCACACCAACACCCACAAAGCCTCACCAACACCCACAAAGCCACACCAACACCCACAGAGCTCCACCAACACCCACAGAGCTCCACCAACACCCACAAAGCCTCACCAACACCCACAGAGCCACACCAACACCCACAGAGCTCCACCAACACCCACAGAGCTCCACCAACACCCACAAAGCCTCACCAACACCCACAGAGCCACACCAACACCCACAGAGCTCCACCAACACCCATCTATCACCAATGCGGCACCGTGAACGTACTCTAGGCAACGCCCCTTTCAGACGCAGTAAAATGCATTAAGTCGATACAATAGACTCACAACCTTGTAAAATGTAGCCAGGCACTTTGTCACGGGCGGGACCTGCCGTCTGACGCCGTGGCCCAGGACCCACCACCCCCAGAACACTGCAAGAACACTGCAAGAACACTGGAAGAACACCGCCAGGGGAACAAGTCTCTTTCTTGCTTTCTGATGTTTCTTCTAATTTTCTAATGTTTGATACATTTTACTAGAAAACTGGGGTTCTTTAGGCTTGGAAACCGTGTTTATCTATAATTCCGGTTTTTCGAGTCTTTTTCCGTAAGACTTCGTGTTGAGTAGTAGAGATTTGTCTCAATTTAGTTTTCCAATCTTTCAACCAACCAATCTATCGACTGGTTTATTGTCTTGGACAAATTGAAGCAAGTGCCATCATGTTATATAAAAAGTTGTTAGTTAATCGACACACACACACACACACACACACACACACACACACACACACACACACACACACACACACACACACACACACACACACACACACACACACAGACACACATGGGGGGGGCAGAAACAAATGGGCAAAGTTTCTTTCACCCTAAGTGCCCCTGTTACCTAGCAGTAAATAGGTACCTGGGAGTTAGTCAGCTGTCACGGGCTGCTTCCTGGGGTGTGTGTGTGTGGTGTGAAAAAAAAAAAAAAAAAAAAGTAGTAGTTAGTGAACAGTTGATTGACAGTTGAGAGGCGGGCCGAAAGAGCAAAGCTCAACCCCCGTAAAAAAAAACACAACTAGTAAACACACACACACACACACACACACACACACACACACACACACACACACACACACACACACACACACACACACACACCCTTACAATGTTGTCAACAACTGATGTTACTGAACAGAAAACTGAAGCATCTCGGGCCCGACCCAGTGGAGCCCATATGAGCAGTAGAACCAGCAGATGGACGCTACCGCAAACGACCAATTGGCGCTGGTAACGAGCGACTGGTGATGGAAACGAGCTCTGTTGGGGGGAATGCTAACGAGCCCAAGTTATTGGCAGTTAGCTCGTTAGGAAAATGGTGTACACAGTGTAGCAGAGAAAGGCAAGGTCGTAGGCCGATTATTCTTGGGTCTGTTGGGCCAAGATGGCGGGTCTGGGCCACGGCTGCCAACCCTACAGTCACTTCAAGGCCACGGCTGCCAACCCTACAGTCTCACCTGGGGCCACGGCTGCCAACCCTACAGTCTCACCTGAGCCACGGCTGCCAACCCTACAGGTGGTGACAATGGCGCCAAAGTGAGAGGAGTCGGACGCCGGACAAATGACAGCTGGAAAGTGAGAGGAAGTTACCGAGTTCGTAGTGAAAAAAACTGGGAACAAACAAGAATAATGCCAAAGCAGTCCAGTTAAAAAGTCCCCGTGAACCTCTGATGAAGATGGCGGCGTCTCTTGGTCTTGGCTAAGAGGATCATTGGTCTTGGCTAAGAGGATCACTGGTCTTCGCTAAGAGGATCACTGGTCTTGGCTAAGAGGATCACTGGTCTTGGCTAAGAGGATCACTGGTCTTGGCTAAGAGGATCACTGGTCTTGGCTAAGCGGACCACTGGTCTTTGCTAATAGTGCTCCTCTTGACTGGAGTTTTCTTCTCATTTCTTACTCTACAGCTCAAGACTGACACTTCCTAAATGATTGCTGAACTTCGGGACGTTGAGAAATATATCTTTAACAAGGTGTACTTCCCTGATTGTACTTACCTAATGTACTGACCTCCTTGCACTTACCTAGTTGTACTTATCTAGTTGTATTTACCTATTTGTATTTACTAAACTGTACTTTCCTAGATGTATACAGGGTTGAGAAATGTATCTTTAAACAAGGTATATTTTCCTAGT